AGGCAAATCTTCCTTCTTCCGGTATTGCGCCACCAGCAGTCTTGCTGCCGTTATTAAGTACAAAATAAAATTAGTCTCTATAACAGCACAATCAGTAGTTATACTTAACAGGTCTGTGTGTGGTTTTTATAGGGTGCCTGTTGTGTGTGGCTTTTTAGTTGTTTAGCACGTCCGAAAGCTCAGAAGACTAAACTTCTGGTCCTGGTATCTGACCCAGATTGGATCCTTCAGCCAAACTTTATAGGAGATATCTTTAAGCGCCTATGTCATATTTACCACTCTCCTCAGTATTCTTCAGGAAATGAGGATCCCAGAATTATACATATACTTACTATATATAGACTCACAACCATAACTGGGACCGAAATTTCCATTGCTAAGCAAGACAGTTGTTATGTGAGTTAAACCCGATTCTATTACCTTTTTTTGCCACGGCCGTTAAGTGAGTCACTACAGTTCAGTAAATCCAGATTCCCCCATTGACTTTGCTCATCAGAAGCCAGCTGAGAAGGTTGCAAAGACAAACCATAAGACCCTTGTTGTTATTGTTAGTTGTGAAGTTGTGTCCAACCTATTGTGACCCCGTGGACAATGTTCCTCCAAGCCTTCCTGTCCTCTATCATCAGTCCATTTGAGAATGAAATGACTGGATGGAATCACCGAAGCAGTTGGCGTGAGCTTAAATGGACTCCGGAGGATGATAGAGGACAGGAAGGCCTGGAGGAACATTGTCCATGGGGTCGCGATGGGTTGGACACAACTTCGCAACTAACAACAACATACTATAAACAAAAGATAGATTGTGGCATTCATGGCCCTGGAACCTACATGTGTGTCTGAGCAGTTGTTTATTTAATTAGATTCTACTTTGTCAGTTGAAGAGCACACCAATACACCATTCTGAAGCCCATCTCCTATGGGTTTGTCAAAGAGGAGGTTGGAAGTTAACAATAATTATCTCTGGCTTTTGTGATTCCAGCAGACTTTGTTCCTTCCCAAAACCAATAGGTCTCTGCTGACCTCCAGGATTTGTTTCCAGCACCATAAACTTACTGCAAGTAGCTTCCTTCATTTCAAGAGCTGCCCATCGGTCCACCAATGCTGTAGATGAGATCTACGTTCACCTGGTTGCTTTCTTCCATGTTAGCATCACTGTTATCTCTTGGGATGGCCAAAGATTACCCAAAACAGATATCACTTCCCAGCGTGGTCCAACATATGGACCCTCAAGAGAAAGTTACACAAATTTTCACCTAGGGGTGAGCTCTTGGATCTCAGCACTTTTTGCAGATGCATGCCTATCCACCCAAACTGCACCATTAAACTTCGACCTAAAAATGCCAAAAAATGGTGCTTTGTGCTGGTCTTTCCCAAAACGCTCTGTTACTCTTAAAAAAAGCCAGGATGCATTTAAATCAAGCTCATCACCTGTGACATGAGAGCATGCAGTTTTCCAGACCACAATATGGATGTTTTATTTGTTATTTGTGCTTGTATGCTGCCCTTCTCGCCTAGGTATCTTGCTTGCCATTGCTTTCTCTCAGGATATTTTAGTCTCCAGCCACATACTTATTAGTCCTGACTCCTGAGCCTCCTTAACTGAATCCTAAGTCAGCCAGGTGCTACTACACCACTGAGAAAGTCTCTTTAGCATCCCCCTCTCTCACCACGAATGCCTTTATATGCCACTGACTGTATATATAACAAGACTGCATATACTGTAGAACCACTGTTTATAACAGCAAGGCAGATTGCAACAAAGAAATCCACAGAGCTCTCAGAAATGGAAAAAAAATGTGTATATGTGTGATTGAAAATTGATATCTGCCTATCATGGCAGAATAGTGTAAACGACAAGATCTTGATGGAAGGACCCTTTGACTCCCACGATGGATGAATGGCTGCAAAA